TGGAGTTTTCTAAGAAGTGTTCAGAGAGGTAGGAAAACCATGTCTTTTAAAATGGAAAAAAAAAAAAAAACAAACTGGGGCACTTAGGTAGCTCAGTCAGTTAGGCGTTCAACTCCTGGTTTTGGCTTAGGTTATGATCTCACTGTCAGGAGACCGAGCCCCATGTCAGGCTCTGTACTCAGTTCAGAGTCTGCTTGAGATTCTTTCCCCCTGCCTTTGCTCCTCCCCCCGTTTGCATGCGTGCTCTCTCTAGAATAAACAAAATCTAAAAATTGAAGACATGGCAAAGGTGGACAAGGCCCGTGATGAAAGAAAAATGAAAAGTTACATCCTTCCTAAAAGGGAAACCAAAAGAAGTTCAAGGATCACAACACACCCAAGAGGACTCTTGTGGCCTTTTTCTTGTTTTGTTCTGAGTATCATTCCCAAATCAGCATCCCAGCCTATGCACTGGTGATGTTGTAAAGAAACAGGGAGAGAAGGGGGATAGTTGCAGCAGATGACAAGCTGCTTTATGAAGAGAAGGCTGCTAAACTAAAGAAAAGTGCAGAAAGGAGACTGCTGCATACCCAGCTACAGGAGAGCCTGCTGAGGCAAAAAAGGAAGTTGTCAAGGCTGAAAAATAAATGAAAAAATGGAAAAGGAGGAAGATGAGGAAGATGAAGATGATGAAGAGGAAGAAGATGATAAGTTGATTCTAGCAAGGTTTGCTTTTTTCTTATCTATAAAGCATTTAACCCCCTTTATACACAACTCATTCTTTTTAAAGAAAAAAGACTAAAATGTAATGTTGTATAAGTTATGGTTTTAAACTGTTCAGTGTCTATTTCTGTATAGTTAACATACTATCAAATGTGTCTTTAGATAGCCTTGTCCTGGTGGTATTTTCAATAGCCACTAACCTTGCCTGGCACAGGATGGGGTTGTAAATTGGCATGGAGATTTAGAGCAGCTTCTTGTTGGTGCACACCACAAATTATTTATCAATGGGAATGGTACTGTCCTCATTTTCCCTTGTCTCTGAGGCAGCTAATACAAAATAATTTTTCTGTTAACTCAATACCACTTTGTAGTTGAAAAAAAAAAAAGAAAAAGAAAAAAAGTTGCACCTTGTTTTGTTGATATTCTAATGCCTCTAAGCAAATACAATTTTTAAGTTGAAAATAATTAAAAAAGAAAACAGTATCCTTTTCAAATCTTCAAAAAAAATTAAAAAGGAGGGAACATTTCCACACTGCATCATTTTAAGATCAGCATTATATTCTAATACCAAAGCCAGATAAGGACACTATAAGAAAATTATAGGCCAATATCCCTGATGATTATAGATGCAAAAATCCTCAACAAAATACTGGCAAACCAAAATGATTAAAAGGATCACACATAATGATCAAGTGGAATTTATTCCAGGGATGAAGGAGGGTTTAACACCTGCAAATCAATAAATGTGACATAGCAAATTAACAAAAAGAAAGATAAAAATCGTATGATCATCTCAATGGATGCAGAAAAAAGCATCTGACAAAATTTAACATCCTTTCATGATAAAAACTCTGAATAAACTGGTTATAGAAGGAATGTACCTCAGCATAGCAAAGGCCATATATATGGTAAGCCCACAGCTAGCATCATACTCAATGGTGAGAAACTGAAAGCTTTTCCTCTAAGATTAGGAACGAGACAAGGATGCCCCCTTTTACTACTTCAACTTAGTTTTGGAAGTCCTATCCTAAGCAATTAGACAAGAAAAAAAAAGGGGGCACCCAAATCAGAAAGGAAAAAGTAAAATTATATAGGCTTGCAAATGATGTGATATATAAAGAGAAAACCCTGAAAACTCTACCACAAAAAGCTGTTAGAACTAATAAACAAAATCAGCACAGTTGCAGAATACAAAATCAAGATTTTGTATAAACACATCTGTTGTTTCTACAACAAACTATCAGAAGGAGAAATTATGAAAGCAATCCCTTATATAATAGCATCAAAAATAATATAATACTTAGAGATAAATTTAATGAAGGAGGTAAAACATCTGTACACTGAAAACTATAAAATATTAATGAAATAATTATTAGAAAACACAAATAAATGGAGAGATCTTTTATGTTCACGGACTGGAAAAATTAATGTGGCTAACATGTCCATACTACCCAGAGGAATCCACAGATCCAGTGTAATCATTATAAAAATTTCAATGGCAGTTTTCACATAAATAAGAAAACAATCTGTGTGGAGCCATAAAAGGCCTCAAATCATCAAAGCAGTGTTAATAAGGAATAAAGCTAGAGGCATTCCACTTCCTGATTTCAAACTGTACTACAAAGCCATAGTCATCAAAACAGCACGTAACTGGCTAAAAACAGACACAAAAATCAATGGAACAGAATAGAGAGCCCAGAAATAAACCCATGCATATATGGTCAGTTAATTGACAAAGGAGTCAAGAATATACGCCAGGGTAGGACAGTTTATTCAATAAATGGTTTGGGAAAACTGAACAGCCAACTTGCAAAAGAATGAAACTGGAGCCCTACTGTACCATACACAAATATCAACTTAAAATGAATCAAACAGTTGAACACAAGATCTGAAATCCTAAGACTCCTAGAAGAAAACAGGAAGTAAGTTCTTTGACATTGATCCTGGCAATGATTTTTTTGGATCTGACACCAAAGTCAAGGCAACAAAAGCAAAAAAAAAACAAGTGGGACTACATCTAAGTAAAAAGTTTCTGCAGAGCAAAGGAAACCACTGACAAGATACAAAGGCAACCTATGCAATGGAAGAAAATATTTGCAAACCACATATGTGATAAGGGGTTAATATTCAAAATATACTGGATACTTTTATAACTCAACAGTAAAAATCTAATAATCCAACCTAAAAAATGGGCAGAGGGCCCAAATAGATATTCTCCCAAATATTTGCAAGAGCAAAAAATCCCAGGCTAAAAGGGACAGTGAAGTTAAAGGTCATATTCAGGGAAGAGAGGCAGACCAGAGAGCTGGACCGTTATCTGTGAGGGACAGATAGCGGTGAGGTGGAAAGGTAACTGGAAACAGATCATGGGGAGTGTTCAGTAACATGCCAGCAAAGCCTCTCGATTGTCAAGAGGCAATACTGGGGGTTTATGAGTGGGGGAATAAAAGAATTGGAACTGAACTTAAGTGCAGAAGTAAGTAGCATGTACTCAAACAGTGAGAAAACAGAGGCAGAAAGATTCCCTAGGATCCTATAGTAATATAAAGGTAACAGAGCTTATTCAAAATAATGGGGCAGGAAGTGGAAAAGATGGGGTCAGCATGAGAGACTAAAGAGACCGGACTGGACTGGCAGCATGTAGGGTGCGAGGTAGTAAGACGATTCCGTTTTAGTCCTGACTGTGGACCGAATGATAAGCAAATGCATTGGGACAACCAAGGACACTCTAAAACTCTAAAAATAGTGATATCGGGGTTCAGATATCAGAGAACCTTATTTAATTGATTAAGAACCACTGGGGAGATTGGTGTGTAAGGGACTTCAGGAGAAAACAATGAGGGTCATACCTGCTAATTTGAGAAGTAATACTCAGTTGACATTATCCAACTTGTCTCATTTTAAATTCACACTTTGATGTTTTCATTCACCCAATAACTATTCACTGTCCACTGGGCACTGTTAGCACAGGACTCCAATGTGATAAAGAGATCTGTCTGTCCTTGGAGCATTTACAATCATTACCAAATGCAATTTTTGGTTTGAAAACAGCTCTATATATACTTGCTAGAGTTCCTGATTCGTATCAGCACAAAAAATTAAGAAGAAAATACACAAGTCTTTAATTGCCATTCTGAATTAATAAAAGCTTCACTCTTTTTTCTTTCTGCTTGAGAAAAACAGAGAAAAGGTCTAATAGGATAATACAAATGAATAACATAAACTAAAGAAAGGGAAGATTATGATACTGTAATCCATAAAATAAATGCTATAGGAAATAATAATTTTTATGAATACTATTTTATATTATACAGATTATATTTATATTAATAATCTGTTAAAATAAGCTATAGATGAAGAATAATTTCTTCTATACTGGTTAAGGAATGGATTTAAAATCTAGGATCTAATGGATCCTAACAGGATTATTAGCCAGAAAAAAATTCGTTCAATTATTAATTCATGTCTTTCCACATCTTATAGCCTTTTTCAAGTTCAACCACCTTCACAGGAGACATGGTACTGACCCAAAATATATAATGTTTTCAAGTTCTTCCAATAAAGATATATTTAGAAATAGAACTAGCATCTAGAAATTCACCCAATATTTCATCAAAGTTAAAGCTCGATTGCTTAATTTTTAGAATCATTTAGTAAATTAGACTCTCCTTTCTATTGCTACATGAAAATACACTCTGGTCCCTTCATAGTTCATGCGGGGCAGAAGCAGAGAGCAGAGAAGTACTGAGTTAAACAGTCACTTCCTCTGCACTTTAGTGCTTTACAAAGAGTGGGGAGAAAGGGAGAGAGGAAGGATGGGTAGGAGAGCTTGATGCTACTTAATGTAATGAAAATGTAGTTCAAATCCCATCATAAATAAAAGGATGATTATATTCAAGAACATTTATTTACATTTATGCCATGGGTTGAAATGGTTCTTGTACAACTGTCAAAGACATAAGGTATTTGCTCTTTCTTAAGAAAGGTGCAAAATTAGGGGTGCCTGGGTGGCTCAGTGGATTAAAGCCTCTGCCTTCGGCTCAGGTCATGATCCCAGGGTCCTGGGATCGAGCCCTGCATTGGGCTCTCTGCTCAGCGGGGAGCCTGCTTCCCTTCCTCTCTCTCTGCCTGCCTCTCTGCCTTCTTGTGATCTCTGTCAAATAAATAAATAAATAAAATCTTAAAAAAAAAATAGAAAGGTGCAAAATTAAACTAACTTTACGAGCAACAGCTCTCAAGTTCCTGCAAGGAATACACAGACTACCCCAATGAGATCCTACAAATCAGGGCGTACTCACTCATGGTGATGAGAATCTGGGGAAAAGTGAACCATCCTCTTGTTATTGACAGGACCAGGGGTGCTCACCTGAAAGGAGAGTTGAAACAAAAAATGTCACAACTGAGTTTCTTTAAAAAAAAAAAAAAAATCCATTTGATGGATTCCAATCTAAAATAGAGAATAAAATATTAATTCTCAAAAGCTAAACAACATTGCACGGACCAAAAGGGTAATTTCATTCCAGGTAAGAATGGTCTCTTGTTTTCACTTATTGTAGGTCCTCTGTTAGAATTTTAAGACTATTTTAAAAGTACCTTTATAATAAAAAAAAGTTTCTTAAGCACTAGACCACAAACTCTTATTTCCAAATACTGCTCAACTGTGCATATATTTAATCATATGTGAAAAAAAGGAGGCTCACTTAATTAGTGTTGAGCAAGCGATATTTCCAAAAACCAATTAACCAGAGTTAATTCGTAAATATAAATAACATGTTTTATAGCGCACACTTCTTCAGTGCATACAAAAACCTACATCAAGGAAGGAGTCACGAGTCCTTTTCATAGTTTTCCCAGAAAGTCAGGAATAATCTGCATATTTACACAGAACGAAATGTAATTTCACCTAAAAGAACAGTATTTTATCCCTCTGTTTCTAAGTAAAATTAAAAATGTGCTAAAGAATTGAAGGTTCAAAAATTTTTTCATAATATGGGCACCGGGGTGGCTCAGTGGGTTAAGCCTCTGCCCTTGGCTCAGGTCATGATCTCAGAGTCCTGGGATCGAGCCCTGCATTGGGCTCTCTGCTCAGGAGGGAACCTGCTTCCTCCCCCTCTCTCTGCCTGCCTCTCTGCTTACTTGTGATCTCTCTGTGTATAGAATAAATAAAATCTTAAAAAAAATTTTTTTTTCATAATAGAAGCAACTCTCATTAAAAAAAAAAAAAACAACGCACAACTTTTCTTTTACAGAGGGTTCTCAAAAGGGAGCGTGAGCAGCACCATGCAAGAATGAACTACTACAGTCACAGTCAACAAGACCTGTGTTCTGACAGAAGGCCCTAAGTTATGCTCTGCCATAATTAATAATAATAGTAATAATAATAAAAACCCTCTGCAACTATAAAAATGTCACTTAAAGTCTACAATCAGAAAAATACCCGAGGAGGAAGAAAAATGCCTCTGAAAACAAATCCAACATTTGCAAAAAAACGATTTATCCCTTTATCGCCTGGGTCACTAGGATGCCGGCGCACACTCTAAACTCCAAGAAATGCAAATATTGCAAATGTGTGCAGATGACGACATGAAGACCCCCACGGCAGGAGCACCACAGGTAAACATGTGCCTCAACTCAGGACCACATCCTGCATTCACCTCAAAATGAGGTTTTCATGCTATTCCAGTGGGCATCCCAGGAATACAGTAATCCATTTTCTACACTGTGGCTCTGAGAAAAGCCGACGGTGCCTATGTCATGCTTTGTTAGAAGTTCATGATCGCATTATCTCGTGGTGGACCTGACACTTTTATTCAGTTTACAGTATGTTCTATGTACAGGCAACTTATTTCCTTTGCCAGGGCTGCTGACAACCTTTTCCACACTATATTAATCTTGTTTACTGACTTTATCTTGGTACAAATATCAGAAAACTGAACTTTTTATCTCAGAGAAAGAATAAACAACGTGTTGACAGAAGCAGAAGCTATTTTCAGGGCTAAAATTGCCTGTTTACCTGAAGCTATACTTATGGAAAAATGTTTAAGTCTTGCTCTGGCTTGAAATACATAATCTGAAATTTAATAAATGAAGAAATTACACATATACCCATGTGATAAATTGCCTGATGAAAACAATGCAACTGAATACAATAAAACAGAATTTCTAACTAATTTATCCCAGAATACAAATGTAAGCTTTCAATCTAGTCAGAAATAATCATATTGTGTATTTCTCAGAAATCATATATGTATAAACGATAAGCTCAATTCAATTGCTGCAAACGACTCACACAAGACTTACAGGATCAAAGGGAGATATTTAAATGACTTTACATATTTACATAACATGTGGCCCTTCCTTAAAAAAAATAGGGGTGAATACCTTTTACTGTTATTTCAAGTCAATTGTTGTTTTACTTTGGAAGATATGCCAACAGCCATAATTTAGGATTATTATTTTTTGGTTTAAAGATTTTATTTATTTATTTGACAGACACAGATCACAAGTAGGCAGAGAGGCAGGCAGAGAGAGGAGGAAGCAGGCTCCCCGCTGAGCAGAGAGCCTGATGCGGGGCTTGATCCCAGAACCCTGGGATCATGACCTGAGCGGAAAGCAGAGGCTTTAACCCACTGAGCCACCCAGGCGCCCCAATTTAGGATTATTTTTAAATGAAATCATGCAATGCTGAGACTCCCACATGATGAGCTTCTCAGGGTTCATGTCACTGGTCTGCCTCAGGAGTAAATGTTTTTCTCTGGGAACCTTTTGTGACTTTGTGACTAGACACCCCATACTGAAAATCCGAGAATAAGATCTCAATACAGAATTCAGCCTGTGGAAAGCAGTACTGTAGTCAAGTTCCAATTTATTTTAAATGTGGAGGCATGGACTATTAGTAGATAATTCAAAGTATTATAAAATATCAAGAAACACTTATAAAATTCTTTCTAAAAATTTATAATTTAGGCTGAGATAATCATCTTTATAAAAATAAATGAAGCAGTTTGAAACGTTACATTCAAGGAATAATTTCTAGTAAGCAAGTATGGTGATTACTGTGTTTTCCAAAAAACACGGCTTCATTATTCCAGGAATGTTTTAGAAAGAAGGAACACATTTAAAAAATCCTCTTTAAAATATCCAATAAGATATTCACATATTAAAGTTTATTTGTTAGAAAAAGCAGATTTTATTCCACAAGATTGGATAGGTAACAGGTATTCTGTTCTTCATGAGAAACAGTATCTCCACAGTCCAGCTCTTGTTTGTTAGGACTCTGGAGACATTTATGTAATTAGCCAATATGTACTGATGACATCACACTATCTGCCCCAGAATTCTTATGGTTCATTTTTAAATGTTACTCCATCCATAGTGACTACAGTCACTCACTACCTATGTCAATTCCTCAAATTAGTAAATGTAAAAAAGAGATACTGCAACCTAGAAAGGAATGGGTGGCCACTAGATAACAAAGCATTTGCCCACTTCCGGCCTCTGCGGATTGTGAAACAAACTAAAGCTAAAAGATCACGCAGGTCTTGGTTTTTGCTATTGTTGTTTACAATCAAGTCATCAACCTCAGAAAATGGGAATGTCATAGTGACAGAAGAAAAGTGAGTAACTGTTGTACAAGAAAGTGCCACTGTCAAAATTCAGAAGGTCAGTAGGTAAGAACATATGGGACATTAGGCTAAATGGCATCAATAACAGAATACCTATTCTCTCCATTTCATTAGATACAGTAAGACAATTTCCTATTCTTTCTATCACTGATTTATTGACTACCAATTTCATAACTTCCCTCAAAAGACAAGCAGAACACTCGGTTGTACATCTCATTGTCATTCTGTTGTCACCAAACCCATCCCATTCTTCTACAATTACATAACTGAAAAAATTACTTCCCAAATCAGGTAAACGTATCTGAGACACAACGCTCTCAGAGGATTAATGAAAAGTTTGTTTAGTACGGATGGTATCCTACTCATATGTTCAAGGATTAAGGTTCCTTCTGTAAATGAATGAAGTGTGATGGCCCCACAGATGTCCAGGAAGCCATTCCTCTTTCTTCTCTCCCTCTGTTCCAGTCATTCTCCTTCAGCTTTGCTCTTCTGTACAATTACATTTTATTCGCTTTCTAAATGCTATTCTGCATCAGTGGCCACACTGACAAATACTTAGGGTGGCAGGCTGCCATTCGAAAGAAGGCCTTTCAGTTTTGTGAGGACCGGTCAATCAAATCCGCCCGGCCTCCAGGGAGCCAGGAGACAGTCCATGAGCTCATTCCATGAGTCTCCCTGCCACTGTGTCAAGACCCTGAAGTTTTCTGCTTCTCTAAGGACCAGTGTTCATTTGACTCAACTTCTCTTTCTTGGAAGAAAGAAACAAGCCCTCAAAGTTTAGCAGCTCTGCATGAAGGCCCCCTTGGTACATTCAACAAATGTGCCAGTCAAATATATGTGACAGATACTAAGGAAAACAACTCAACAAAACCAGGCTTCAAAATAGGACTTGAAACCCTGGGGGTAGGAGGTGAGGGGAGGAGGGCAAAGAGATGAAAGGGAATTTATTATAGTTGCTTGTCTACACATTTATCTTCATTAAAAATCAACCATTAGAAAATAATATCCTGAAAGATTTGCAGTAACTGATTTTAATTAATGGCTGTTAAAACAGATGTATAAAATGTTCATCTTTTAACCCCTTCCAGAAAAATAAACACAAAGATTCCCCAAAAGGATTTCAAATGAGTTTTATATCGGTGTTCCAAAAAGTTCTGTTACGAGATAGGTGGAGAATGAATAAAATATTTCACTGTGTCATCTATTCGCATATATAATATCACAGAATGGTCACAATTCACAAAAGGCACAATCTATTTGGGAATGGAAAACATCAAGAAGATAACACTAGAATTACTTTTAAAACAACGTACAGAAAAAATAAAAATTACTTTAGAATGACTTTTAAGGCAATATGAAAAAAATGACAATTCAGGTAGCATAAATGGGTGTCATTTATAAGATTAAAGGGAAACATAGTAGTTATCTGATTTAAAAGGAATAAGGGGGGAAAAGTCACCTGTGAGAAGGGAGTTGTATGCAATTATCTCTCCCTGCTCCAATCCATCTTACCAACTTGCCAAATTCAACTTTCTAAATCGCTGCTTTTCGCATGTCAGTTTTCTCATTCCAGAGCCATCCATAGCTCTACGCTGAAAGTAAAATTAAAACTAATGAGAAATGCATTCAAAGTCCTTCTCTAATCCGAGCCTGACTTTCCAGGGTCATCCTTCAGCTCACGTGGTAACTGACTGCTCCCCATGTGCTTAACCCAAAACTGCTCTACTGGATACAATTCACC